ATGTATATTTAGTAGTAATCCAATATTTCTTTATTTAACATACACCTTTTTTAATTTAATGTCGAATGCATATACTTGTCAGCTTATTTCCAAGCTTTAAAAAAATTTAACATATAGTGCTTTTTTTAAAAAGAAGTCTCCGTGGTCTGTACACAATTTATAATTAGGGCAGTCATCTATCAACTACTTTATCTTATAGTCGTGTTGCTGTGATTTGCTTTGGAAGTGAAAACAAATAGATATAATAAATGACAGCATTGGAACAAATGGAGGACGGATCCAATAACTGGATGTAAAATGTAACTGCAAAAGGATAACATTGCAAGACCCAAAGAAGAAAACGACAGGAGAGATAAGACTAAGAGATTTTTCTTCTTCTTTTTTTGGTGTAAGGTTCAAGCAAAAAAATATGATAACATTTCCCATCAGCATCTGCCAAGTAAAGGATAACACATAAGCTCACAGCGCCCTCTTGTCCTCATCATTTGCAATTGCACTTGTTAAAGCTCTGGAATCAGGCATGAGACATTTCTGTGTAGTGAGTTTCACCCTAAACAACTTATAACGCAGACCACCTTTATGCACTTATAAGCTGTTGTTCACCTACATGACATAGTGTATTCAGACATTAGAGAAATGACTTCACTGAAATGTGTTTCTTTCCAGCTGTGCTGACAAAGTTACGCCCCGAGAAAAGAAATGACTGAGTCGGGCATTTCTTCTCCAATGGTATGAAACAGGAACAGAAAAAAAGGGTGATATTTCCTTAAAAGGTCAAACTTGTACTCACGTCAAAGATGAACTAGAGGTAAGTTGTTGCCATGTTACAGATATGAAGCTGCTCCAAAAATCTGCTTTTCTCAAACGGCAAGTGATGGGTTGTCACTTTTGCCAAAATACAAAATAACGTGATAAATCTTGCTTCCTTCTCCTTGACTCGTAGATGAGACAGTGTCTACGGAATAGCACAAGTAGGAATAAAAGTGTACGAGTATTACAAGTGTGATTGATATGTGATACATCTCAGTGACAGATGTGGACTCAATGTAAAGTAGGTCAGTGGAAGACATACAAGACGAAAACACCTTCCGTTGTCATAACATCCCACTGTAAGTTTGCTACAAGAGGTATAAACTATTCTAAATTCATAGCTCTTTGTTTCGACAGGTTTACGTAGGAACTTCTCATTTTTCTCATTCGTGGCTCAGGATTAAGCTGTCCTTCAATGCTGAGTGTGAATAAACCTTTCTAATGTAAAATGAAAGGGAATAAAGTGTAGGCATGGTACAGATCAGCATCTACAGGCAGCTTTATCTTGCTGTCACCCTCGTTGTTTCAGTTTTCCACCCTAACAGTGTGTGAGTGCACTGGTGTGTCCTTGTCATGTGTAGTTTTGTCTCTCAAAGCTGCGGAAAGCTGAAGGAGCAGCCAGCTTCCTTATGGACAGACTGTCAGTCTTGGCTGTTTCAGGCCTTGCTCCAGACTTGCTCCTGAGGAAGGGGTTTCTGTGTCCAACCAGACCTCGCCCCATAGGCCCAGGTCCCCTGTCTGCTCCCAAACCTGGTCCCCTCTCCATCCTCTCACTCACTGACAGGCTCTTCCGGTGCGGAGGGGCCAGTGTGAGGGAAGGATGGGAGTCATCTGAAGAGCAGCTGTTTGCTCTCTCCAGCTTGGAGAAGGGGGAGCAGAGAGGGGCTCCACTGGGCCCACCAAGGCCCCCTATTCTAGGGGTATCAGAGGCTGGAATCAGATTCTCAGGGTCCTCTGGATCAGACTCTGTGTGACTTAGCTCTGCCTCTCTCTCCGGGTGAGAGGAGCTGATGTCTGATGGTTTATCAAAGGTGAATGAACTGGATGTCCCAGGTGAATGTGAACATTCTGCAGGAGTGTATGGAGAGGAGACACAGCGTGTATCAATGCAGTCAGTGATGCTGGTGTACTCTGCAGCCTTTACCTGAACCCCTGCCCCCAGTCCTCCATAGCAGCCTCTTGGCGTGAACATAAGGCTGTGGGACTTGACCAGAGGAGGTTCGTCCAGGAACGAAGTTCCAACTGTTGAGAGGTAGCGGCTGCTCTTCGAGCGTTCAAGCAGCCCTGCTGAGGGAGGTGGAGACGGTTCCAAATCCCAAGGAGGTAGGGTGGTGTCTGGTAAGAGGTGTGCTGAACATAACGACAAGTCAGCAGCTGCGCTGTCCTCAAACATAGCTCCAGTTGTTCCAGTTGTTCCACTGCTTCCTGCTTCGCCCTCCGAGTGCCTGTCGCCCAAACCGCTAGTGGCAGTGCTGCTGTACTCACGGCCTCCAGGCAGCATCGTCTCTAAGGTATCTGACTGCACTGAGGACACTCTCTGCAGAGGTGGGACCACACGAAGAGGGGCAAGAAAGACCTCTGTAGGTCCCACCTCCTCAGAAGTTGAGACATAGATATCAATGCATGACGATGGACGGTGCTGCTGGGAAACCGCCAGCGTTGCCAGTGGGAGGGGCTTAGACTCCTTGGTGGCGGCAGCTGAGGACACAGATTGTGAGCTGTTGGCTCGATGGAGACTAAGTGAACGCTCCTTGAAGAAGCTTTCAGCTCGTTCAGCCCCACTTGCACGTTCAGCAGTACGCCCACCTCCAACATAAAACGAATGACTCCTTGTCCGTGTAGCCATGCTAGTAGGAGAAGGAGGGGACATGGAGCCCTCAGCTGTTCCCTCCAGCGCCTCTTGGAGGCGGTAGGCATTCCCCTCAGTGCTGTTAAAGCTGCTCTGACGGAGGATGTATGCTGACTCTTGGCACTCAGCTTGGCGGAGTATATATGCGGAGTCTGTGCAATCAGATGAAGTTCGGGAACGGGCTTTGCTGACCTCTACCCGCTCAACGCCTGTCACACGCTCCAGTGCAACAGTGATTCGTCCAATTAGCTCCTCCATTTGGGCCAGACGAATGTCAACAGTCTGTAATGATGCTTTCATGAAGTGCTCCCTCTCATTGACTTCTTCCAAACGCATTGCCATGTTCTCCACCCTGATGGAGAAGAGGGAAACAAAACTATAACAACTACAGTAAAAGCCACTATGTGGGGCTTGTTGTCTTCTACAAATAATAAAAGACAGAAAACAGTCATTTAAGTACAGTGTGTGTGGAAGTTAGATTACAGTTATGTACTCATGTCTGACCTCTCAGATGTAACTCTGATCCTCTCGTCATTAGATGAGTGAAATCTGTCGTCTTTCTCTCTGAAGTACTCTTCTATGCATTGTTCCTCAAAGTCATGAACTTTCTTCAGCTCATCCTCTGTGATAAAAAGCTCTGTGGAAAAGAAAGTTTCGAGAGGTTTGGTTAAATTGTCATGTTTCACTATTGTTCGTATAAAAACTGCATATGTTCCAAACTTTTATTTTGGTTGTATGATTGTTACAGCACCACAAAAGATCAATGTAAAAATGTTTCAACACTTCCAATAATTAGAGCTTTAAAAATTGCCTCCTGTTCACGTTCCTTTTATTTCTCATACGATATAAATCTGCCACTCACTCAGTCCATAGTCCCTCTCGTCATCGTCATGCTTGCGCCAGCGGCAACACAGATGCTTGAGGACCATGGTTATGTGACTGAAGATGATGAGGGGTGGAGGAAGGACTGGGCGTTCATGGAAGGTCATGATGAGCTGGTAGCGCTGGAACTTCCACACCTGGTTTGAGATGGACTTCACCTCAAAGAATGTATTACTAAAAGCAATCAGACAGACTCAAGATGAGATCATGACAGATGACATCTTCACAGATCGACAGTGGTGTTCAAAAGTCATGTTTTTGTCATTTACATCCACGTCGCCGGACATATTTTAAGCTTTAAAGTGATCTTGATCGTTTTTTTGAGGCCTTTTAAGGGTTTTTAAAACTTTTTCTTTGGATTTTTGCGACCCATTTTCAGAACATTTTTGTTGTTGTTTTGTTCATAAAGCCATATCCACTCTATTTTATGGTTCAGACATCAAAACGTCCCATAAGAACCAGACAACTTAGAAAATAAATTAAGAAAATAAGCTTTAAGCACTTTGTTGTAAACAGTCTGTCACAAAGATACAATTTATTCCAACGTATTTACTTGAATTTCTAAAGCAACCCAATAATATCACAGTTTGATACATAAAACAGTTATTTAGTTCTGATAAAGTGACTTCCAAAGAAACATCTGCTGAAAAATTGACATATAGTAAATGATTAATTAAAAGCTGAATCATCTCAAGTCTTGTTTCAAGTATCTGATGGATATGAAAGACCATCTTAGCACCAACATAACTGGTTTGTTCCACTTTGGAGTAAGCTGTTTGGGGGAAGAATCAGTTTTGTTGTGTGTTCCCTTGACTGATGAAGCCTTCCAGTTGGAAGGTGAAACATTTCAGCAAAAAAAGAAACTGTCCAGATGACTGACTGAAAACTGTTGGATTGTATACCTGGATTATTGAGCATGGACATTCTTTTGGGGTATCTGATGGATTATTTTCTTGCACTTTTTCTGAAATTTGAGAGACAGATACTTTCATCTACATATATTCTTTTTAGACCTGTCATTTAATGCACACTTTACAATATGCTGTCATGATCAGGTACAAGGACTGGAAGAAACTCAGGAGAAGTTAGCCATATCCACAGGAAAATCTATGCAAAACCTTCAGAAAGCCTGGAAAATTATTGACTGTAACCGATTTAAAAACAATCCAAAATCTGTCATCCTGTGAGTATAAGCATTAATAAATTAAGAAATTATTTAAATATTTTGAACTTTGCTGTATAACAATATAAATCAAGATCAAGTTTATTCTGGACTGTTGGATGAACCAGCTCTTTTACTTCGCTGCTGCGTTAAGACACTGAGAAAATGATCATGTAGATAAATACAAACACAATCATTTGCACAATAACAAATTATAATTACAGTGTGGGAGAAGCTGCATCGTGTCAGTACAAATGGAGAATAACCTAATGAGAGAGGCTTTACAGCTGCTCTGACAGGAGCTAACAAGCAAACATTTTCAAATCTAAAATGCGTTTGTGACTGCTTTGTTCTTTACAGTATATATTTGAAGATATTTTAATTATTTTGTTCTGATAAAATAATTAAAATGAAAATAGAGAACACGTACTTGAACACAGCTATGAGCAAGTTGACTAGCAATATGTTGGCCACCAGCAGATAGCAAGCCATGATAGCTGGGACGATCCAAGCTCCAGTCTTACAGGGTGGTAGGGCCACCACCACACCGTCCTCTGTAGTGATGTTTTGTCCACACGGAGCTACACGTTGTCACAAAACAAACACACATACACATAAATATATAGATTCTGTTTGAAAATGGATTTGAATCCATTTAGAATTATGGTTATATAATAATTTGGATGCATGGTAAATTAGAGACACATGCAGACACAAAGCATACACAGAAAATCAAAAATATATGGTAAAAACCTCAACAAGTTATTAAAAAACCCCAAAATACTTTACGACACATTCAGCACAAGACCACAATATTAAATGAAACAGACAAGCAGATCCAAAAAAAAAAAACAAAAAAAAACTAGGGATGCACAATATTATTGGCATGGTATCGGTATCAGCCGATATTAGTGATAAAGTTAAATATCGGACAACGGCCATTCCATCAAAATAACTCACCGCTATAAAAGATGCTGGTTTTGTATGACAAGGATGCCTGCAGTACCAGCACAACGTTATGACGTCACACGAGCCGTTGAGTTTAGCTTTGTGAAAATTTACAAATTTGCACTGTTCGAGTGTTGTCGTTGTGTTAGAGAGAGTAAATATCATAAATAAATTTGACATTAAACATAATCCAAGTTGAAGTGTTACATCATTTTCAGTCCCCTTTTTGGCATCTGCATTTGATAGCAGGCCAAACTGACAAAGACCATGCAGAATAATGTAGTATTTTAATTCCACAGTAGGTAAAGCTATGTAGTCTCTGTAAGTACTGTAGGTCTAAGGGAAAAATATCGGTATTGGTATCGGCTATCGGTTATCAGCCAAATAAATTTTAACATATCGGCATATCGGATAACGGCCAAAAATCCAATATCGTGCATCCCTAAAAAACTATATAAAAACATACTTTGCAAACAAACAAAATGTATTTTTATGCTTTTGTTCTCAAAGAAGGGTTTCAAAAGAGCGGACACTGTAATGGCAGGGGCTCATGTTCAGAAGTGGGTTTCTGAAAACAAAATACACAAAACAACACATTTGTCATGTGTTATCACAGTCTATGTTCCCAATATATTTAAACGCATGTTTAAAATATATTGTCACAAATGAAAGCCATAGCTTCTTCAGCAATGGTTGATTGCTGTGGGTTTTTCGTTCTGAAATGTGTTTAGGGTACACAGTATGTTTTTTCCATCTGTGATGGTTCAGTTGCTGGGGCTGATCTGCAGAACATTCAGCATTCGTCCTGGCTTTGTTTGCCTTGGAGTTTCCACCTAGTCATGCTCATCATTTCTTGTTGTTTCACACAATGTAGCCCAAAGACAGAGAACTGAAGTAATTTCTTTTTTCTTTTTCTTTATACCTTCAAAAAAATTTGGACTTAAAAACTCTGACAACTGAACCACGTGAAAAAACAGAATAGAAATGATGAAATGCGGATAGTGGCTAGGTCATAGTGTGGTTGTCTGCACTGTATTTTTATATCCTGTGTGATGTGATAATAATATCTGAGTAAATATTAGTGCTCCGTCGTGAAGAATTATGAAAAGATCAGTTTAAATATTTAACATGTGAAGCAGCTACTCCAGTGAGAAGCTTAGCTGGCGTAAAAAGGTGGAGATAATGGTTCATGCGAAACGTGGCTTTATCATGGCAAGGTCACGTCTTCAGGTTAATTTAGAATTAAGCAACAAATAAAAGGAAAGAGGCATCAAGTGGATATCAAATCTCTGATAGCTCCTCTTGATGTGGCAGCTGATTGAAACAAGACCAAAAAATGTGAAAAATACACCTGAGAAGTGCTGCGTTTCTGACCAGCCAAAACTTATCGGAGTAAAGTTGCTTACAGGGTATAGCCTTAGGTCAAGCTACTAGTGGAATAAATTTGGAAAAGAGAGTAGACTCACAGTTAGGCTTCAGATTTACCTGAATTGGTCAATTAAACCCAATACTGACATCCAGCAGTTGACCCAAGATGCCAACACAAGGGCAACTTTAGCCTTACAACCAGGAACCACATGCACACTTTTGTCTCAAGAGACGTCTTGTAGTAGGAGTGGGCATGTCATGATGTCATGGCAAGGATGACGGAGAGGTGGGATAGGTAGATGTGGTTAAATCGAAGTCTATATGTGTAAAATTACTGGGATTTTGACTGCACTGGGCAATGTGGGATGGACCATTGCTACGCCAGGTTCCGTGCGTTCGAAAGTAATTTTCGACCAGCCAGAGTTTTTCATTCAGCCTTTGCTGTAACTTCCTACTATGCATATCTGAAACAAAGAATGAAAACATTATTTCAGATCTCTTCTCTTTGGGCCACTCCTCACATTCTGTGCACACCATCAAATACAGTGCTATACTAAAAGACAACAGAAAAGCACACAGACTCTCAAGACATTTTTCTCACAGACATCTCCAGGTATAAGAAGATATATATATATAAAAAACACATTTTCAACTGATGGTATAAATTAGCTTACTGTAAATTTGTCAAAAACTTAAACAATAAAACAATTCATCTGTCATGTGGTTGATATGCTCACTGACAAAAAAAGTGAAGCACCAGAAGGAATCGTCAAAATAAATCAATTAATTTGAAATAAATTGACACATCAAGGACGGGCACCAGAGTGCATAAGTGGTGGCATCACGAGTGGAAAAATGATGTTGTCAGACAATTGTCAGAACATTTTACACTCAGTCAAAACAGTGGGTGAAGGTCAACACCCACAGAGGATGCCTCATGCAGATGCTTTAGACAGAATTACCAGCCCTTGGAGTTTGACTTGATGAGTGGCGTTGTGGGGGCTTACATGAGGCCAGACGGTCATGTTTTTTATTGCCCAGCATTGGGGTGTACACAGTGGTGTACTGCAATATGCGGGCATACGGAGTATACCCACTGGAAAAGCTCAAGAATTTCAGTATACCCACTTGAAAGTGCCCAATACATGACATATCATTAGGCACGTGTCATTGCTACATTAAACGGCAGTTTGTTGTGTATTTATTCAAATATAAGCATCAGAGACATTTGGAAATGATCAATATGCTGAAAAATCAAAATCAATTGACGATTACATAGCACTAAACATTGTACTTTGGTTTCTAAGTACAGTATACCCTCTACAAAAACGTAGACTACACCACTGGGTGTACAGATGTCACAGTGACCCAATGATGGACCAACTTCCAATTTATGCTCATGAAGATGACACTGTGTCTACTTTTGACTTATAAGATTTAAGTTTTGTTTAATAGTATAGTATATAGTGGTATATATATTTTTTATTTATTTATTTATTTATTTATTTATTTTTAATTAATATTATAATTGACTGTTTGACCTTTCCTTATGTTTCAGGACATATTACTACACTTCCCTACTCTGTTGTTTTTACACCCTCTCTGCTCCATGTTGGTTCATCCAGTTATTGCTGTCATTACCCCGTGTTTTTCTTTTTTCTATTGTCATTGAAACTGTGGGATTTTGTTGTGAGTTGGAGCTATAAACATAAACTAAATGGATGCACAATTTGTACAAGTTCCGGTGGACTAAGACAGATCAAACCAAGAAAGGATTCGCGTATAGTGCACCAGTCATTACAGAACCTAATATCTCTACCTGCCATCTGGATACAGGTATTGGACTATTTACAAACACCCCATGCCATTTTGTACTGTGTCTTGATAATTGGACTCAGCCAGAATACAGGCTTACCGCCCACTGAATAGGCTGCCATCAACACCAAAATAGAAACAAATATGTTCAGTGTGGTACTGTAACTGAGAGGCATGGACTAATGAGTGGCATCATATTGTGTCCAGTGATGAGTATTAGTTCTGCACTACCACACATGATCAGAGTGATTATTTATCAATCTTAATTTAACCAGACAAATCCCACTGAGATCATGGATCACTTTTGCAAAGGAGACCTGGGCCTGGAGGCAGCCTAACATGCAAGTTAGTGCACACAAACAAAAGGAGAACATGCAAACTCCACATACAAATACCCCAGAACCAAACCAGGGACTGAATCCAGGACCATCTTGCTGTGAGGCAATTGATAACCACTAAACCATTGTACTGCTCTAAACAGTGTTTGTGTGCAGTAGTGCCCAGAGACACAGACATAGACACACCTGGCATCAAGGTGTGAGGAGCCCAAACAAATGGATTTAGGTCACTTTTGATGGGGATTCAAAGAACCCTGATGACACAGAGCTACATTAGTTACATCCTGTGTTCAAATATCTTATCTCTCTTGGGACAGCACCCTGGTAAAGTCTTTCAACAAGACAGTCTGTCCACACATGATGCATCTAAGGATTGAGTGTGTCATGTTAATGTCCCTTAAAAGCAAGGCAGACTCCTGGATTTTCCCTCAACTCAAGATAGGTTGGATCCGTTTGGAAGTCAATTCTGACCCAGTGCCAATTTGTTGGATCTGGAGGACCACTGATGACAGCTGTGGATTGACTTGCAGTTGGAGAGGATACAAAGGCTGTACTCTATTCCTCATTGAATCACTGCTTGTATCCAGACCCAAGGGGAGTGACATATCCTAATCCCACACAGAACAAGCAGTGCACCTATACTGCATTTCCATTTGATCTGATATTGTATTTATTGCAATATAGTTGCATGATCACTCAATACATGCAGTTTCATTATATTACAACCTCTCTGTCTGGAACCCAGGGAGGTTGATAAGTTAAGACTCTGTGTGCTTAACTCATTACTACTTTTTTTTTTGTCAGCGAGTGCATCTCTTACAATCCTAAAGTAATAATGAAAATTGTTTAAATAACATGAGCACTTTATTTAGGGTTATTCCTCTGTTCAGAGACACGAATGACCCTCCCACAGATTTATAATGAATTTTATTTATCAGCTGATGCCCAACACTTACGATCAATCTGGTCGGCAAACACTTCTCCGTAGATCATCCAGTAAGGCATAAAGAAGATATTTCTTGCTAGCATCCAAGATGGGTCTTCGTTGGGGTTGAGGATGGCCTGACGTGCCACCCCAAAACTCATCAGCACCACTAACATGATGATCACAAAATACATCATGTCGATCATCTGACAGAGGGATGGAGAAGAGAGGCAGGGGAGGAGTAAAAGCATGGACAACAGTTAAGAACGTTTAAAAAGTGAATCAATGAGGCAAAAGTGGAAGCACAGTAGAAAAAGCTCAAATTAATTATGGTCCATATTTGCATATTTGATTTTAGTCCCTATAAATTTAATTAGATTTGTTTTGGAATGAGGCTCAGACACTGTAATTAAAAGGCATCTAATTTGGTTTAATTTCAGGTTGATTAAAGAGGTGAGAAGGCTGAAGAGCTCACCTTCCCTCCAGGCTAAATTCATCTCTACAAAACGGTGGCGCTCAATAGTGTTGATTAAGACTATCACGTACTTCATTATGAATAGATGAAATGTTTTTTTAAGTCAGATTTTCAAAGCCAGTTTTGGAATTCTGTTAGCTTTATTATTACTTCAGTGTAAACCTTAATTAGGCATTCAAGTGTCAAAAGAAACAACAATTACTAGAGAACACAGCGGCTCTGTATATATGTCATTCATTTACTTCTCCTAAGTTGCACTGACGTTAAACAAGCCTATAGTGATGCAGCGCCACATGAGCCAGTAACTTGACTGACTTCTCTCAGCCCATCTGGTGATTTTCATTTCAAAAGCTTTGTGTCCGGTGGTACACAGTCCACGTCAGAAGCAGTCAAGCATCAGATGGTTACAGATTTGGGTCTGCAAACATAAGGTCGTTTTCACACCTGATAGTCCAGTAGACTCGGTTCGATTGGGGACCAAAATTTGGAACATTTGTTTAAATTTTCAGCTGGTTCGGTTCGCATTCACACTGCACTGAGTCAATTGAGCCAACCTGTTCCCCCCACCCCGACGCCTGTGGGCGCTGCACCAAGAATTACTGAAGGAAACTACACGAAAACCTCTGAAGAAGACACTTCTTCTTCTTCTTCTGGAAATAAAAACAAAAACGGAGTGGCGTCAAATTTTAGCGATTTAAGGATTTCTGTTTCGTCTGTGGCTCATGTGCCAAACAAACATTTTTCAACAATGGACTCAGCATGAGCGGAAGATGAGGCAGAAGACCATGGAGAATGTTGTTTTTCACATGAGGTGGCTGAGACGGCTCCGTATGAGGTATGAGAAATGCACGTTTGTTTTGGTTGTATTTACCCAGAATGCCCTGCTGTAGTCCACGTCCTGCTTTTGGAGTGGTCTCCGGTCCACTTGCATTCATAATGCATTCGAACCGCGCTAGAGTTAACTTCAACTGAACCGAGACCTAGGTTTTTAGGCGGATCAGAGTTCTCTTTTTTTGGTCTACATAAGAGTTCAATTGCGCATTCACACCTCCTCAAACGAACCGGACTTTCTAGGCAAATGGACTAGAGTTTGATTAAAGCGGACTAAACAGGGCTGGTGTGAATGCACCCTTAGTCAAAAGCTCTGATCTTGTACTTGTTGAGATCAAACGATCAAGTTAATAAGTGCATGTGCTTTTTTTAGCTTTATATGTGCATCCCATTTACAAATGATAACTTCTGGAATCATGGAGCTCACTTTTAATATATGTCACTATCCGTCATGTCAATCAAGGTCAGACAGTAAACATATACCAAAGAAGAGTTTATAGTAAGTGGGAACTAATGGGATACACTGCTCAAAAATAACAAACACAGCCAGCTGCCCACCCTTGCATCTTCTCACCATCTTGCCGATCATCATCACGTAGGGACCTAGGTACTTGTTAACTCCAAAGATGTCGAGCAGCCGAATGTACCAATAGATGATGTTGACACAGTAGATGACGCGGCCGTAGCTCATGAGCGGTGGCTCCTGCAGACGCAGAACCATGCCGACAGAGAAAATGAGGATGGCCATGAGGTCTGTGATATTCCAGTACTCCTGTAGCCACACCTTCACCTTCTGCAGCAACTTTCCCGGCTCGGACATCAGGATCTGTAAGAAAGTAGTGAAAGATGCTGAAATGCTGGGCAGATAGGAAGAAGTGGTGATGAACACAAAGAATGTGGATCAACATTTTGGAAAAAGAAGGCTGAAATTAAATGCATTCTATCATAACCACCATAAGAGGGCAGTGTAAATTCATCAATCTAAGGATTTGGACACCTGTGGAAGCATTACAGTGCAGCTGAAAATGATGTGACACAATGATTAATGCATTTCATACACTTACAGTATAAAACCACAGAGTTAGGTTGGATTTATTATTTGGTCACAATGTTTTCTATTAACGTTTTCCCCCCATTGCCACGCCATTCAGTTTTCACCATCACCCTGCTACTCTTTTCTTCATTTTAGCTTCTGATTCACCAATCCATCACTGTTTTCCTCATTTGTTTTGTGCTGATTTATGAAACAAACAGTCTCTAGCACAAAAATAACTAAATTAAACTGTGGATATCATTATAGTTACTCCACCTGTGTTTTGTGATGTTCAGTATATCTATGCATTCACATTTAGCCAGGATCTAACGTACCTCTCTCATTTTTTCAATGCCATTGGTGAAGATGTAAGCGATGACAATCCACTCTTGGGGAGAAGGCCACAGGTCCATCTTGACCAGAACAATGTAATTAAACAACATCAGGTATCCCACATATGCCATCTGCATAAAATACAAAAGCAGATAAAAGACCAAGGTCTTATTTTGTGTTACAAGCCTACATTTGAGCAGTTCACACATAGTGGCACAATGGACATAAATGGAGTTTATGTTTGTTCAATATATGGAAAAACAAACAATGATGGCTACAGAGAAAAATGCTTCTATGATTATTTGCTCAAATCATCTCTTAAAAATGCAGACTGACCCTGCATTTTCCTGCATTTTTTTTTCCATATATAAACTGATATGGAGTGTCTTGCAGTAACTACAGATACTTTTACACAGGTAAGCATCAGATTGTTGATATTTTTTTAAAGAAACCTTTATCTAGCAGATAAAGCAGAAGCAGATAAAGCAGAAGAGGGCCACCTGCATCATGAAGGACCCCACTCATCCAGCACACACACATTTTGCCCCGCTCCCCTCAGGATGGAGGTTAAGGAGCATTTTATTGTGTTTTACACCTGATAGTACGGTAGACTCGGTTTCGTTGGGGACCAATATTCATAACATTTGTTTACATTTCAGCTGGTGTGATTTGCATTCACACAGCACTGAATCAATTGAGCCAACCTGTGTCTCCCCCCCACCTGTGGTGGCGCTTCACCAAGGGAATGACACAAAAACCTCTGAAGAAGACACTTCTTTTTCTTCTTCTTCTTGAAGTAAAAACAAAAATGAAGTGACGTTAAATTTGAGCGATTTTAGGATTTCTGTTTTGTTATTTTCAACAATAGACTCAGCATGAGTGGAAAATGATGCAGAAGACCATGGAGAATGTTGTTTTTCACACAAGGCAGCTGACGGCTTTGTGTGAGGTAAGAGAACTGCGTGTTTGTTTGTCCTGCGCTGTAGACCACTTCCTCCTTTTGGAGCTGTCTCCAGGCTGCTTGCATTCACACTGCATTCAAACCGCGCCAGAGTTCACTTCAACCGAACCGAGACCTAGGTTTTTAGGTGGACCAGAGTTCGTATTTTTGGTCCGTATCAGAATTTGATTGCACATTTGCACCTCCCCAAACGAAACAGACTTTGTAGGCAAACGGACTAGAGTTTGATTAAAGTAGACTGAACAGGGCTGTGGTGTGATGCAGCCTAAGTGTAGAACCGCTAGATTGAGGAACAGCTTCTACCCTGAGGCTGTTGGACTCATGAATATCTAACCAGAATAATCACTGTGAAAAAATCACATCATGTTGCTGCTGATCTGTTTCATGTTGCTGCTGATCTGTTTCATGTTGCTGCTGATCTGTTTCATGATGCTGTGTTCATTCGTGCTCATCTGCTCACACAGACTCATGTTCATGCTGCTGTTCAGCATATTGTTCTTATGCTACTAGTGTTTTATGTATTTTTAGTTAATGTTTTTCTTAGTTCATATCTTAGATCTTATTACTGTTTTTCTTTTACATTTTAATACTTTTGTTGGATGTAACTGGGACCCTGTTTACACAGTTTCTTTCCACCACCACATGTGGTCTGAATGACAAACAATGGACCCTGAACCTTGAACCTTGAATCTATTTTTCCAGTTGCAAGTCAAGCATCTCAGTAACAGAAGTTGGTAAAGTGATTGTAATATGAGTGTCTGATATATTTCCTATTAAATCTCGTAGACACAGCCGGATTCTATGATAAATTGGACTGTGGTTATTAAAAACAAGGCAGCACACCACAGCAGGTGACAGGTATGACTACAATTTGTGTAATGAGTTGAAAGACCACATTCAGAGAGAAAACCAAGCATCTGTTCTTCAAGTCTATTTACTTCAATGTGCTGTCAGGCTATTTTTTCTTTAGGCTGAATGACAAAAGGAGGAGGTAGAGCGAGCAAAACGGGATGAAGCAAACAAATATTTTCTCAGCACAAACAAACAGCTGAAGTCCTTGCCAATACTAAGGAGATGTTTTCACTGGGCAAACAAGTAGAAGGTGTCTAAATGGAGGAAAAACATAAACGTGTATGAAATATTATAAACATGCTTACAGGCAGACAAAACACAAACTATAAATAGAATCGAGATGTTTTCCACTGTGTAAAAGATGCCAGAACATACATATTAAATGCTCACTTCCCCTACTTGGTGTCCCACTCTATAAACTTCAGATCAAATATTCACTCACTGTATTGCCAGAGGTTTTACTTAGTATTGAAGCCACTAAATATATTAGCAGTTTGTGTGAGTCCATTCTTTCTCCTCCCTCATTTTTCTGTACTTCCCTCAACACTTCCCTCATTTCTGCAGCAGTCTCCCCTTTCTCACTTAACTTTAACACCCCAGTGAAGCTGTTTAATGACATGTTGGAACAGGAGCCTAATGGCATCGGATGCTGTGTGAGAGCGGACATTAAGCGCAGATCTTTGCAGATCTATAGTCGACAGAAACAGAGTCCACAGGAGAATGTGGGAGGTGTTGCTGAAGCCGACTCTCACCGTATGAAACCAGAACTTGACAATTGGAGCATTGTAGAACTCGTATATCTTGCGTCCCATAGGGATGAGGCGGTGGCGGCTCTGAACCTCCTCGACATCCTTCTTTCTGGCTGCCTCTGCGGTTACCTTACCCAGCATTGCCTGGGCGATTGCAAGCCCCATATAGAGCGAGGGAGGAGGGAGGGGAAGGTGTGAGGATTCAAAGAAAGGAGAGTGTGGGAGGAAGAGTGTGTGAGGGGGGAATAGAAGTACAGGGGAGGGGTTGGTAGAGATACAAAAAAATAAAATAAAAAGATGGAGATGAAGTTGAAGGTGGAAAGAGATAAAAAAAATAAACAGGAAGAAATAGGAGACAGAGAGCAGAGTTATACTATGAACAACAGCACAGCTTTAACAACATATTCATAGAAGCAAGCGCAGGCAATGTCATCATTCCAAAATGTGAAATGTATGTTTGAGATGGTGTTTGAGTGAAGGCTGATATTGTAAGACAGTAATGACAAAGACACAGACACTCATGGATTGTGTCTCTGACAACAATTAGGAAAGCAGGAGATAGACAGAGAGGAGTAGAGAAAAACAAGAACAGGAAAAAAGACATAGATATCTCAACTCAATCTGTGACACATTTACTTATCCATGAGAGAGGGTTCGGAGCCCATGGTTTTTATGGGTCATGGTCTTAATGTAAAAGCAACACCATGTCTCTGGAGGGAGTTCATCCATGAAATTGTATTGTAAGTCTAAAAATCATTAATGCAGATAAAGAGAAAAAAAAAAAGGTATATCCTCTTGGAAATAGTGATCAAACTTTCTGTCAAATCAGAAGAAAATAAAAGCTAAGAAAATGTAAATGTGCTTAAAGATATATCATTTGTTAAGAATATGGGAAACACAGTTTAGTCCAGGAGGACAACAGATTCAGATGACATCCTTAGGGATGCAACGATAAAACCAGTGACAGAACTGGCTGATTTTAAAGGGATAGTTTGGTGGCAATTTGTAGCTATATTAGTCATCAGTAATTTATTTTGTAATATGGTGCATATTTATATTTAGATTAATGGAAATAAATAAAAAAATACTGTAAATAAATAAACAAATAAATAAATGCATAGAGTTACATACATACATAAACAAATAAATAAACACATGCTGAACATATATACATACATACAAACATGCATACATACATATATAAACAAATAAATAACTAAATATAGTAAATAAATAAATAAATAAATACATACCGAACATACATACATACATACATACATACATACATACCTACATACATACA